TTCGTCAATATGTTTAATATTTCGAAAGATTTATTATTCATCGAACAAAGAAGAAATGATTATTCAACGAAATATTTATTATTTAAATTGTAGATTGAATGTGTTTAGTTTTTCAATATTAATATAGAAAGTTTTTCATTGAAAAGTAAATGAAGATATTTTAGAACTTAATTATCAAAGACAATGAGAATATTGTTTTCCAACATTTGTCCTTAACGTAATAGATATTATACAACTTGTGTTGTCACAGGCAAATAGATTATGTACCTATTCAAGTAACATATCGTATTAATATCTAATTGAATATGAAAAATAAAATACATGGCATCATATTAACAAAAAAAAAAAAGATAAATCTCAAATGTAATGGAGAAATTATTTACAAATGGTTATTATTATAAGAGATTAAATCTCTCTAAGCGTAGATAGTTTCTGTGAAATAAATTGATTAATTGTTGAAAGAAATAATAAGGGTGTGGGTATATCCGCATTCTTCGCATCTAAACCATACCCACACTCACACATTCCACAATCGCATCCACATATAATATAAATGAAACGCACAAAGACAATCATTAACGCTTTTTTGTGCGTCGAAAAAAACTGATGTATAGTGCATGGAGAATTTTGTATTAACAAAATATTAAAAGAATATCAGATAAACAATATCAATTAATTAATGATATTCGAATTTCATGGTCAAACAAATCAATATTGATCAACAGTGTAATAACGGATGATGCAAAAACTCGAATAGCATATTTGACAGAAAAATTACTTCTAACTTTGCAAAAGCATTGACTATGATAATTGCATTCACTTTTCGAATCATTTAGAAACGTTATGTAGAAACGCGATCAACATAAACATAGTTTTTAAATTGCTTCAAAACATTCGAGTTAGAAAATCACAGAAAAAACAAACAAGGACTTTTTTTTATGTGATTGACTTTTAATTTTCGCGTACAAAACTCGTTAGAAAGTCACTTATTTCGAATATACAATTAATAATGTACAAGTTTTGTTTTTGTTTATTCACATGTTGAAAATATCTTGTTGTAGAGCTAATAAGACAGAAAAACACTAACTTTATTTATGAATGAAAATTCGCTTTTGAATTCCAGAATCATCCAGAGAACTTCTCAAGTCCAATGTATTCTTAATTTGTGAACTGTTTCAATATATCTTAGATACCATTTATGATATATTTAATTTAATTTCAAATAAATTAGAAATTAAACTACGCTCTTTCACAATAAAATTCATCATAAATAAATTATTTTTAATCTTTAATATAAATTGTAATCTTAATAAAATAAATACTCTTCAAACTTTTTCTATATTTTCGAGAATACTTCCACAGATTTTAGGGAGTATATTTAATAGGGTGAGGGTGTCAAGTCAATAAATATACCTACAACAACAGTGGCACTCTGAACATAAGAAAAATTCTAATAACATCTAAACTTATAAGAAGGGGAAATATTGAAATTCTCCATTAAATAGACAGTGATTAATATCTTTTTAAATTGTGAATTAATGGGTAATCGATTAGTAAATGATTCAATTGAAGTAACTTCAACACGACATATATATATATATGCATGTTAACATACGTCATGAATATCTTTTGATAAAACTAAGACAACATCAACAAATATGAAACAGTGTTACTTCAAAAAAGAAAATTACTTAAATGTATAGAGACGAACGAACACACAAGCATAAATGTTCTTTAGAAAAAAAAACTGAAAAGGTAACTATTTATGAAAAAGTCAAAGACGAACTTATGCTCATTCAGCTAAATATGATGAACGTATTCGAGCAAGAGTATTAAAAACTATATCATCTACATTTATACTATCAAACCAAATTTTCAATCTTCTCCAACATTGTCGAATAATTGTTATTGACAATATAATTTACATAGTTGAGAAGATAAGCAACAAAATAATTCTGTAAATTAATGGTATTGTTGAATCAGATGATGATGATGATGAAATGTTTGAAATTAATATGGTCAGTTTCTTTAGTGTTTCTTCATATATATTAGCCCATAGCGATGGAATAATAAAGCCTAACCAAACAAAGATAATAACTAAATAAAAACCAAGAGAATAAATATTATAGTGTTGACATGATCATGTAGTTAAATGATTAAAACTATAGCATACAGTAGAAAATAAAAGTGCATGTATTGCTAATGTCAAAAGCAAACTAATATCAATATAAGCTAGGTAGACAACAACAACTTAGAAGCAGAAAATAAAAATACAAATCACATAAGCAATTTACTAAATGTTATTATAGAACGATTCGTTCTAAGTTACATTTAATCAGTGCACACAGATAAAATACAAAAATTCAAACTTTGTTTCTTACATTTGAAAAGTCCTAGTCGACTTTTCTATATTTTGTCAACATTCCAGACCAGAATAAAGCTAATATTGAAAGTAAAACAACAATAAACTTCGTTTTATCAAATACTAAGTAATAGAAATCAATCTTCTATTTTTGAAGTACTAAAGACAAAAACGACTAATACCTCCAAGTTCAATTAAACGATTGCATGTTCTTATGTTCGAAGAAGTCGATGAACGATTCGAGGAGTGAGACGCTACAAATAAACAGGAACAAAATGTGCCATTTGTCTGCTATGTAGGTTACCTGCGAACAGTGGCTTATAAATAATATCACCACTCCATTCGGTAACAAAATTATCGTTTTCATCGAGATAAACACTACATAATAGAAGTTTTGCTCATCTCAATGCTTTTTTAAAAACTTTCTACATACACTTCGAGGTTTCCATCTGTATTTTCATAAACGAGTCCTGTTAAACCAGAAAATACCGTGGCCAAATACCGGCGCGAAATACAATTGTTAGAGTCGATTTTAAAAATCATTATGCGTTGTCGATTTTCATCAAATACTTGAATGCGTTCCACCATCATATAATTGACTTCTAAATAAAGAATTGTGAAGATCTAAGAAAGGCAACTATTCTATCAGTAGACTATTTACTTTAAATAAAAACTTTGATGTAATTATTTAAAGTTGAACAACAGAAAACTGGATGAATCGAGATACTCGAATGTAAAACAAAATTCAACAGCAGAATCTTCAATAAAATAGTTAGAATAGTAACGAAAAAATGAATAAGTAGAAAAGTGAAAGAAAATTTAATTCATTCGAGATCAGTTTGATCATTATCATTTTAATACTAATGAAAAGCGATGAAATATTAGAAATAAACAATTTATCTCATGCGTGATTGCTTAGTTATCAATTGTCGAATAGCGAGCATGGAACTTCAAAATACAACAGTAACTCGTATACTGACGCCATCCCTTGAATTTAACATGCCTATTACAAAAGCCTATTCAATGTTTCTAATGTCAAGTGTACACAGCAGAAGCAAAATGTACAAACATTTGCAGCTGTGAAAATACACGCTGCTGTATACTTGGCTTTAAAAGCAGAGTGTAAAACGTACACTTTGCAATTGAGATTTTTTTAAAGTGTACTTTTAGTTCAAAAATTATATTTAAAACGATGATCAGATGCTGGTCTATTTTTTATTTTTTTACTCTTCTTTGAATGACACCCTTTGTCTCACTTTGTAATGTTTTTTTCTTTTCAGATTTCTATCAATTCGTTCCCGATACTGATGTGATAGCTGCAGAATAAGTTAAAAATTACAATATTCAGCTTAGTTTTCTTCAAATAATATGTCGATGTTCATGATGATGAAGAGGAACACGATAGTTTTGATAAGTCTTGTATTGTTGAAAAGAAATAATAAGCACAAGACTAACATACTCTAAAATATTTTATCATTGTAAATGCTTTAGTTAATTTATATTTCAATTTAAACTAAATAAGAAAATTCTTTGCTCACTCATCTCGGTAAATTCATATGAAAATAGTTCGAATTATAATAATTCAAAATGAATAAATAAAAATGGAAATGAATTTGATTATTAGAAAAAGAAAAACATATTGAGTGTTTCGAAACAATTTCTATTGAGTAACGATAAAAATGTCAATAGTATTTTGAACAATTCTATTAAACAAATCTAATAGATGCAGCAATTTTCGAATAGTTTAAGAAATTTTTTCGGTTTTTAATAATCTGCTGAATATTGTTGAAGTCTTACTGAAAATGAAACTTGGTATATTTCATTATTCTAAAGATAACTTCGTTGATAATAATATAATAGAAATGAAAGTTAAGTTATCATCAAAGAAAAAAGCATCCATATGAAGAAAGGTGATTATTAACTTTTATTTTTTTATATTCAGCAACATATTTCAAATTGAAATTCAATGTCAGATTTTTTTTTCTTATATAATAACTTCATTTATTATGTTAAACTTCAATCAATCAATTAATATAACATGAAAACATCAGGTTTTCATTTGATAGAAAATAAACACGTTAAACTGTGATAGAAAATGATGAATTTGTTTCAAGAATATGAAGAGTTTTAGAAAACTTTCTATTTATTTATATGAATAAACTAATTAATAGAATTTAAGAAATTATTCAAAATAGATCATCAAACAGTTCTTTTACTTCGAATTGAATATTATAGTTAATCGAGCTCCTCTCATTAGATTATGTTCAAACTAGAAAATTATTTGAAATTCGATCGAAAATCGAATATTTCAAGTTAAATAGAGTTAAAATGCTTATTATTCAATGTTCAAATCTTGACGATAAATGAACTATAAGTAAAAATATCGTTAGATAACCAATTAATATATTTCTTATTCTCTTACTTAATAAAAAGAGGTTGTTCTTCAGTGTGAGAGTGATATCTATGATAAAATATATTAGTCTAGGTTTTTATTATCAATGATATTTAGTTTCTGATAAAGATAAAACAATATTTTATTCTTTTTTATGTAACTTGACTGATGAATTATTTTGTTTCAAAAAAAAACAAAATTTAATCATTGAATAGTGAAATATTATTCAATTTTCATTAAAATTAGATGGGAGAAAACAAAGCTATGTCAAATGATTTCCGTACTTTATCACCTGAATTTTCAATAGATGAAGCTAAAACTATAGCTAATCAATATTATGGTTTAAATCAATTTATTTGTCAATTACCAAGTGAACGTGATCAAAATTTTCTTTTTCATCATCAACAATCAAAATTTATATTAAAAATCTCAAATATAGATGAAACTTATTCCGTTATTGATATGCAAAATCGTGCTATGGAACATATTAATAATGGTATAAGAGTTATAGCTGCATTAGATGGAAATATGATTGTTAAATATAAAAATCATTTAATACGTCTTGTTAATTATCTTCCAGGAATTCCTTTAGCTAATTATCGACCTCATACTTCGAAATTATTTTTTAATTTAGGAAAACTTCTTGGAAAAATAGATAAATCTCTTATAGAATTTAAAGATGAATCTGCAAAACGTTATATTTATTGGAATATAATTAATGCTGAATATATTATTAATAAATATATAAATTTAATTGTTAATAAAAATCATCGTCAAATAATTGAAAATATTCTTAAAGATTGGATTGAAATAGTTGTTCCTTTATTTTCATTACTTCGACAATCTATAATTCATAATGATGCTAATGATAATAATATAATTGTTATTGATGAAGATAATATTGGTTTAATTGATTTTGGAGATATGTGTCAAACATTTATTATAAGTGAAGTTGCTATTGCATGTGCTTATATTATGTTAGATAAACAAGATCCAATTGTTTCAGCAACATATCTTATTTCTGGTTATAATCAAATAAATCAATTGGAAGATATTGAAATTGATTTAATTTATCATTTTATTTGTGCTCGACTTGCAATGAGTGTAATGATATCTGCTCATCAAAAACAAATTCAACCTGATAATAATTATCTTGTTATTAGTGAAAAACCAGCTTGGACCTTACTTGAAAAACTAACTACTATTGATACGAAATTTATTTATCAAGCTTTTCGTTCTGCTTGTACAACATCAAATTAATTTATTTCATTCATTTTTATTTTATTATATATTTGTTCAAAGAATTCGAATTGTCTTTTTTTTTTTTCATTAAAGAATATTTTCATCGTTGCTATTTTTAAATGTCACGTAAATATTGACAAGAGTTTTGATTATTATTATTATTAGTTAACAGAATTGGTTTTCATTTTTCGAAAATAGTCGATTGTTTTCTTCAACTTTTGTCAGCAAAATATTCAAATATCTTACAAATTTATTTCAATTTTTAAAATAAAATAAATTATAAAACAAAAATACGTTCTATATATTGATAAACTTGAGAGAATATGATTAATCTTTGAGCATGCATTAACTTTTGAAAGATCCAAACATAATGAAACTCCTTTCAATATAAAATATAGAATTTATTGGTCTTTACTCAATGACTCATTTGATAGTTTGCAAATATTTTCAATAATTAGAAAAACAAATTTTAATCGATTTATTGTACGATTGTAATTATAGGTAAATAAATAGAAATTTCTATAATGTAACTAAGTAAATAACTAACAAGACATTTTTATTAATCACTATCGTATTTTCTTTCATCTTCTGAATTGACATTAAAACGGTTAATAAACGATATTGAATAGTAAATGTATATAGTAGATATCGAGCATTTGATAATCGTATTTTGTAAATCTTTGTTGTCTTAAGTATTTTTCGATATTTCGATGTCACTCATTAATGACATTTATTTTGCATGATTATCGTTCGTATCTTTAGCAAATATCTCTCCTCTCAACATGAAATGTAATAGAAGAAAAGATAAAACTATTACTATTTTGTCTTCACAATCTTGACAAACTAATTCTAGTTACATTCTTGTCGTCGATTTCATTGATACTCTCATGCTTTATTATAAACATCTGATCTTCGTTCTTACAGTCTTATGGCCAATATGGCAGTCAATAGGTGAAGTTCTTAATATGTATAACTTTACAAGAGAAAATATGTGGCTTTCAATGCCTGATGGTATTCGTCTGTCAGCTACACTTGCTATTCCTGTGTCGAAACATAATGATGAAAAATTTCCCGTTCTATTCGAATATAAACCTTATAGAAAAGATGACAATTTCTTTAATTTTGATCAACCAAACATTTTCTATTTAGCACGGCGAGGTTTCATTGTAAGCAAATTTTTTAATAATGACTATCAAACATATCTATCTATATGTTTTCTCTAGGTAGCCAAAGTTGATATTCGTGGTACAGGTTCATCAGAAGGTGTTCTTATTGAACGTGAATATACAACACAAGAATTAGATGATTGTGAACATGTTATTGAACAACTTGCTGATTATTATTGTTCGAATGGTCGTGTAGGAATGTATGGTTTGAGCTGGTCGGGATTTAATTCTCTAATGATGGCTATATTACGACGACCAACTGCTCTTAAAGCCATATTTGCTGCACATGCTACTGATGATTTATATAAAAATGATATTCATTATCCAGATGGTATTTTGCATCTTGATCATTACATTGTTTCAATTGATCAAACAAATGCATTACCAGCTACACCTGATTATCTTATGAATGAAGAATGGATTAAACAACGATTTACAAGAAGACCTTGGTCTGATGTCTATCTCGAACATCAATTGGACGACGATTCATTTTGGAGAAAACATTCGATTAAATATGCCTATGACAATCTCACTATACCCGTTTATCTAATCGGAGGACTTTACGATCCGTGAGTTTTATTCATGAAAGATATTTCAATTTCTATGGATTAATATATTCTAGATACAAAGATGTTCCTATTAATATATATGAACATGCGCGGCAAGTATCGCCTAAGATCAAAGTCGTTGTTGGTCCATTTGCTCATGCAATGCCTGAAAATACAAATCGTAATCCAGGTCCTGGCTTCGATAGTATGGCTGAAATGGTTCGATGGTTCAATTATTGGCTCAACGATAAAAACAAGAACAATGATATTTTAAATGAGCCTGATATCACATTATTTATTCGTACAAATCTCACGGCAGGCAACTATCGATATGAATCTGAATGGCCGATTCCTCGACAAAGAATACGACGTATGTACATGAACAAAGGTCGAATATTGACTGAACAAGCAATATCAGATACAGAAAACGAATGTGTCAATAACAATGTGGACACACTCAAGTATCGACCATGGATTGGTTTTGAAGGTGGTCTCTGGTTAGGTGGATTGACGGGAGATCAGCGACCTTTTGATGAAGATTGTCTCGTCTATCAAACTGATCCAATCCATGAAACTATTGAAATTGTTGGTTTTGTCAACGTGTCTCTTCAGGTATTGCTCGAATCATCTACTATAATTGTTACATACAGTCTTATCGATGCTTGAAGAAAGATTTTATTTTGCGAAGATTGAAAATAACCATTTCTTTAAGGAGAAAGTGAGAGAGTATTCGTAGAACAGGAAAAGAAGACAGTCTTTTTTTAGTTCAGAAAGATATATTTGGAAAAAGAGAATGATATCGTGTCATTTCTTTTCAATTTGGAAATACCATTGTTTACTTGAAATTGAGTCTGTTAATCTTTTCTATGAAAATAGGTGAGTGCTACTGCTCCATTAGCTCATTGGATTGTACGATTAGAAGATGTAGATATTGATGGCCGAGTGTGGATTGTGACTACAGGTGCAATAAATGGAGCTCAACGACAAACACCACCTGCTAATCTCGAACCAAATCGTCGATATATAATACCTCTTCGACTTCGTTTTACGACATGGACTTTTTTTCCTGGTCATCGCATTCGTATTGCTGTTTCAAATGCTATGTTTCCAACATATTGGCCATCTCCATTTGCTATGAACACATCACTCTTTCTTAATTCATCAACTACTTTTATCGATTTGCCTGTTATTCATTCCATATCATCGACATCATCACCACCACCATCGTTCACTCAACAACAAGTTCCACCTGATGATATTCTTTCAGAGTCATTTTCAGGCGGTAAACCTAGAATCTATCGAAAGCATGAAACAAATCTATCTACAACAATTATTTTTGAACGACTTACTTACGAACTTTTGCCTAGGAATATATTCATATCGACTTTACTTGCGTGGAACATTACTTGTTCACACTCTGATCCTGCTGATGTACAATGGAAAGGACAGGCACAACAATTCTATGTATATGATATGCATGGTTATGCATCAGTCAATGATATACCTATGATCGATGATGATAAAGGACTTTATCCAAATGTTGATCTATCGAAAAGACGACATTTTGAGATCAACGTTAACTTGACTGTTTATTCTGATCAAGATTATTTTTATATTAATTTTAATCGTCAACTTTTTAGATTAAATAGAATAACAGATGAACTTCCACTAACCTTTACATTCAATAGCAAAAAAAAAAGACAATTTCAATAGAACAATCAATTTTTATAAGAAACACTAAAAATTAATCGTTGTTAAAACTATTACTTAGTGAACTAAAAAAAAAAGTATTATAGAGAACCGATGAAGCTATTTTAGAAACCATCTTATGAATTCATCAAACAAATTCTATTTTATTGATCAAAACTAATAATATGGATTAAAATAATAAACATTGCGTAATTAAACAGTTATTTTAAATTATTGAAAACAAAAATGCAATATAAAACTTTTTTATAAAACATTCGAAAAAACATATAAACCCAGGCGGGTTTCACAGGAAGTATTCTCTGAATGTGGATCAGAGAAAAAGTTATCGTACCAATCGAGTTATCATATATTTCGGTTCTATTGATCTTGGTTCAAGGGATGTTCAATGTTCAAGCTCCAAACTATCATATTTGATGTGCCTCAGAGTTTTTCATTTTCATCATCAAGAAGAGTCTTAATCCGCTTTTAAGTTTTATTCGAGAGGCTGCTGTAGAACTGTCAATCTAATTATTCGAAATATAAGCAAATGTACTATTTCTGTCTCTTATTTTTCTTGAGAGTAAAATTAAAATATATACGATCGACGTGATGACTAATGAAAATAATAACTAAGGAAGAAATCGTCAAAACATAGTTTTATCATACTAACTAAATTCTATGAAGAGTAGAGATATCGATCGGTGTAAACTTAGGCGAATTGTCCATGATGAATGGATCCATAAAAGATCAGAGCTGGGCAGCTAAACGTCCTTCCTTCCATCGACTTAAGTCACGCTAGATGAAGTCTATCAAAATCTCATCATCTGAGGCACTTTTATCATGGACGTGTTTTAATTTGATATAAAATCTGTTGTTGATGTTGTTGGAAATTTTACTACTACCTTCTCGCCTGAAGAAACGCTTTTACGCATTCTAGAATTTTTTTTAATGAGATCAAGTTGTTTTTCCACATTAATTTATTTTCTGTCTATAGGAACTAAAATAATATATATAGGAAAGAACTGTCAGATATCAGGTTAAACTATTCAACAGAGTGTTATGGAACCTAAAAACCTTCTGCACTTATATATTTATATGTATTTATATAAACAGAAGCACATATTTATCATATATATTAGCAGTCTAATCGATATGAATTTGAAATAATGATGAAATTAAATAATTTCGTAATAAATAGACGTATGAAAAAGATCAGTAAGATGAAACGAAAATATGTGTAGCTTTAATGTAGAAGAGAATTATTCAAAAAGATTCATAAAAAAAAGACTAATAATATTGTCTTTATATTTCTTCAGTCGTTGAATTTTTTTTGACACATTTCTTCATAACACAAATTTCTATGTCATCTTGCATAGAAGAATTGAATTTTGATAGTTGAATTGGAAATGGTAATCGTTTACCAGTATCAATATAGCCACGACGAGTATAATAGGCTATTAATTCAGGTCTTTGAATAATTGAATTTATTTCAATGTATTCAACATTCCAGTTGTTTATAGCATACTTTTCAGCAATCGATAAAATAAATTTTCCATAACCTCTTGCTTGCAAATCTGGACGTACAGCCAACATACCTATTAGTGCACTTTTCGTCTCTTCTTTATGTAGTAAGTTAACACATCCTTTTAAAATATGATCGACGTCACCAAAAAATATCAAAAATATATATTTATTACTATTAATCATATCAAACAATGCATTGGTATTTGTTCTTGGTATCGGAATTAATGCATCTTCATTAGTCCAGCCTTGATGTGACAATTCACCGCGATAAGCATTATTTATTAAATTAACTAATGAATCACAATCGTCTACTGTAGCAAGACGATAGACCAACGAATCTGAGCTTTCTTTTCTGTGATCGGAACCGGCTGATACTGTGTTTGTGCTATTAATAAAACTCATTTCGACAAATAGATATACTTTAGCACTTTTGATTTGTAATGAAACGCTAATTTGACACTGAATGAAAGTATCTACAACAGAAATTCTTATTGTTAGTAAAATAATATTTTTAATATTAATTAGATCTTTAATATTATTTCGAAGGTTAGTTTCTGTTGATCTTACCTGTATATAACTAATGAGACATATTTCACGTTGTTTTTTTTCTTATCTGTCTTTTTTCAAAACGTAAATGATAACATGAGAAAATGAGTGATCACTAAATCAAACAAAACATATAACACAACATATGTCAACTTTGCTCATATAACATAATTCTGTTCAGACGAAGACAGGTACATTACTATTATTTATTATCACATTGAATCGTTCATTATAGAAAATATATATTAAAATAATATTGCTATGCCAATTATTATAGTGATTTACTATTAGTCATTATTTGTTCTTCACTCTTTATCAGTATTACTTTCATTTAAGTAAAGTGCATTTACGTTCAAACTATATTTTATTTATTTAAGATTAAGTCTTAAGAAACTTAAGATTCTTATCTTACAATGTTAATATTTAACGTTGAATATATTCGGTAATATTCGAATTGTCCATTAGAATGAATCTTTCACACGATATTTTTGTATTTGTATGCATATTTGACATAACTATGATTGAACCTAGAATGACACTTGTTCATCACTCAATCAAGATGTTAAGCATAACTAAGAACTCAAATCATTCGATATAATTTGATTTTAGCGACAACATTCATTAGTAAATACATTGAAACGACTTTAATGAACATGAACATGATTAACTTTCTCTTTCTTCTATATCCACTAATTCAAAAAAAAGACTTCTATCTGTTTAATTATAGTGTACATATTCCGATATGATTGATTAAATAATTTTTTTTGTCTCAATAGTATACATACTTGTAAAAACAAATTATATCATTATCATCAATCAAATTCGTTAGATTGCAATTTGTTTTTTTTTCCATTTATATTCAACATGCGAAGGCAGAATATTTTAGTGTAGAAGCAATCATACACTATAACTAAACATTGACTTAGAAACAAATTCTAATGTTATTTTATTTATATTGATTATTATTGTAACGGAATTCTATTTTGTACTGCATTTTCAAATAGATATAGTATTTCTTCTAATGGCGTCCGCAGCAGATAGAAAAATAATTGTCCATCTCAGCAAAAATTTGTTACTAGTAAGTATTACTAAGTATCCGTGATATGTTATATTAAAAAATGGTCTTGCCATTGCACAAATGATCATGTGCTCATGTATAAAAAAAGAAAACGATCGTCAAGTAATTAGAAACAAACTATTGGTCTGTAGAACAAATCTGATAATAGAGTTCGACAAGTTCTATAAGTATTGAATACCAAAAAAACTTCTGATCCTCTTTTTCAATACAAAAGTTGCTAATGCAATCTCTGCGGGTTTAAAATGAGAAAGACGATGCAACTGCTCTCCTTAATCATACGAAGATCGTTTTATTCTATATATCTTGGGACACATCTCTTCATCTCTCTTCAGTAGTGGCCGACCAAGAGGTGTAACACCCTGACACAGTTGAAATTTCCTTTTCACATTTTGTTAGAGGAATGATAATTTTCCTTTGCAAAAACCTACGAGCTACCCTTCTCAAATATTAGCTGCTGCGGACTACCACTGATTCAACATTCCTTTCAGTCAATATTTCATAAAATTTGAAGGAAACCAGGTAGACTACTAAAAATTTCATATTTTATGTTGCCAGATCTAGTCTGCTTAACTTTCAATAAGATTAGTTGATCGACTGATAATTAATGTTTCAAGATGTAGTGTAACATATTGAAGGTGACAAATAACTTTTCCGAGCCGCATCAACAAACAAAACAGTAGATTAGCTTAATTTATTAAAAGTTCACCTTATTCTCTCTAATACTGGATACATAAAATTTTAATTAGTCTATCTTGTTTTCTCCAAATTTCGTATTGAAAACAAGATCACTTTTTTTTAAATATTTGTGTTCTCGTAAAACTTGTCAAACTCTATTGAACGGTATAAATATCTCTAGAAAATGCATTATGCTATTTCAGACATTACCAACATCAAATTATGGCTTTCATGTTGTTCTACAAAACTGTATATCAGTCAACTATCTATAAATGTATTTACATAAATAACTTTGATTTATAGACAGGGCCCAAATAATTTGCGTCGTTCTTTAGTATTCTTAAAATTTTTTCTCAATGTGCATTAGAAAAGCATGGAAGAAAATGTATAGTCGTATCTGTTCTTCATTGTGATGTAAAACTGATTTGAATGCAATGATCATAAGATATTTCGGCTGTTCCTCCTCAACTTCTTAATTTCCTGATGAGGTAAGAAATCGTCAGTTCTTTTATGCTGGAAGAAAAAAGAGCTCCTGATGTAGACTCTTGGAAATAGCAGCAAGAGAGCTTCTAATTCGGAGGTAAATCGTGCCATCAAATATTAATTCAATTATTTAAGAAAGTAACAATATTTGTCTAATTAAAAATATTGAAAATTTTCTGGTTGGATATCGATATTAATGATAGACGAATTCGGCCGATTAATAAGTTCATTTGTTTCTGAGTGTGGGTAGGTAAGAGTGAAATCTTCGCGAGTAATTTAATAGATAAAAAATATTTAATAATAAAAGTATCGACTAAGAAAAGTGAATCTACACCATCAAATACTTTGCTTCAAATTATTAAATAAGAAATGATTCTGTTTTGAGTTATAAAACATCTATTGACTTCTTCTATTAAATTATGTAAACATGGTTCTTTTTTGATATGGTTTTCATACGGCTTTTATATAGAATAAGAATGAATCATCTTATTTCACGTACTTACCTTTATTATATTCAATAGAATCGAAAATTAAAGCTAGTTCGATAGTACGTACTCTATGCAAATACTTCTCCTTCTATACGTGAAAACACTAATTTTTAGGCATACATACGCAAGACTTCAATTCCAGTTCGAAGGAATCTATAAACTGATAGTTATTTTTCATGAAAAGACTGAATCAACGTTTTGTTTCACATAACTATATTATTTATCTATTCTAATCATTGAATAATTTATACTACTGCCTTTTCAGTAGTTCAGAATGAAAAATTTTCAATATAAATAGACGTGTTTGATTTTTATTAGACTAAATAAAGATTTTAAATTATAAAATCAAGCCATTTTTTTAATTTCTATTGCTATCGAATATCATTATAATTACAAGTAGATAACTTTAATACTCGATTAACTTGTCAATTGCATGTAAAAAAAAAAGGCTAAATTGTGTCACATCATTTCTAATTCACAAAAAAAAACATATAACCAGTAAATATTAGTCATGAAAGGAAATAGAAGAAACATCACGGTAGGTTTCATAGTCGTCTTCATTATTTCGTACTATTATCAAAATGAATCATAAGAAAAAATCAAACAAATACAATACAGTTATTGATACAAAATTGATCAAACAAGAATTGGGAATTTTGGTTTTTTTTCCATTAAGAAATAACGTCCTATACATCAGAGTAAAATATTTCAATCACCGCAAAACATTTACATTTCAAACTCACTTAAACAATAACTACTAATAATGAAAGTAGAAATTTGTGATCGAAATTCATACGAATGCTCGTACAAAAATGGAGAACAATTCTAGCTCGTTCATGATTTCTATCAATGACAACAAGTAATATTTAACATAGATTTACTTCTTATATAGTTTTGTTTTGACTACAGTGAAACATATGACTAAAAATATACTTTACTTGATATTCAATCAATCGTATTAGACCCTTCGCGAGAAAATAAATGTTCAGAGAATATTTTTCTTTCAGAATGAGTGCTGATCAATTAGGAGAATCTAAAGATGAACATAATTCACACGTAGCTGTTCGAATCAATTCTCAGTGTGAAAAGATATTTAAAGTGAACGATGCTTCCTTCGAAATTTTTCAAACTAGATTCTTTTCTACATGATGTAGAAAACGACAAATATTTATTGAAGAAACTGAACATATTTCAACAAAAGTAGATATGAATCTATTTCATCGAGCTCTTTGTTCACTGTATTTCTATGACTTTCATTTTGAAAACTGGCAAAAAATCAATAAAAGTTTTCATTCTATATCGTTTGTTGTCTATTATTGGCTTTTATGCTTATCGAATGATTGATACAGTGATTTATGCATCAATATCAACAGACAGATCGAATGTCCTCGAAATTATTCATGGTTCATGTTATATATATCAAAAGAAATTCTATCCATTGTTTATGCAAATGGCGTTGTAGTTTTTGAAATAAGTATTGAAGCATATGTTTGTTAGTTTTATATTCAATTGTTTACTCTATTTTGCTTACTCGAATTTGTAGCAGTTTCGATGAAACTATTAATGGAATCATATGGATCTTCAAAATGATTTTTTTGGTTTTTTGAAACCGAATTATGTTATCATAATTTTCGAAAACTTGTCGAATATTATAATCAGTTTAATTTGGCCGACCGTGCTATGCTTACGCAAGCCTTATTTTTAGGCGTGACTATGTTCATTGAAAAATTATCCGGATTAAAAATGTCGTACCGTACAACTAAGGGGAAAATACCATATTCATGCACATATGAAATGACCCATTGTGGTATCATTAATTTCTATGAACCATTATTCTCGTACAATAATGGTACGTGTTTAGACAATTTATTAACTTATGCAGCTGTACATGAACAAATAAGACTTTTACGGGATTTTATTCTATTAAATATATTCTCATATTCAGTAGAGTCAAAATCCCTAATAACGACACGAAAAAATTCACTTGTTTTGTTTGATTTGATGTATAGCCATTTCACATTCGATTGAAAATATTTTTATATATACATAATCGTTGGAGTCTGCGCTTTCGAATGGTATAACTGCGACCTTTTTTCTTAAATGTTAGAATGAAGAAATCAGCG